TGTGTGTGTGTGTGTGTGTGTGTGTGTGTGTTAGGCAGTGGATGGGGACATAGTGATGCTCTCAGCGCACTGGGAGAAAAGAAGAACAGCTCTGACTCAACTACAGGTACAGCTGCAAAGCTTACCGACCTTCATCAGTGAACTAGACGCCATCACTGCTAACATAGGTATGGAGTCTGTTTCATTCCCGTCTTATAAAGCCAGTCCTCCACAACAACAACAGACGGTGCCATATTGTCAAACAGTGGACCTCAATATGTGCCGCCTCTGTATAGTTTTACTCACTCTTCACAGTATTCAGATCCTGTACTTGGATAGATATGTACATTTTCTTTATTACAAAGTTTCACTTTTCACAGTGACACATTTTGTTTCATGCAACAGAGCCAAAGTAATTGTGACTCAACCAACAATCCTTAGCTTAACAAGGTTGCTAATGCTACCTACCTCGTGGGCTAGCTAGCCAGGCTAGGCTTAAATTATCTCGGCATCAAGGTGAAGGGCCAGTGTTAGCAGTGTTAGCTAGCTGCTGCTAGCGGCTTGAGCGACCACAGAGAAAGACTCTTGGTGCTTTTAATTATGCTAACTTGTGCTTCCTTGCGTCCTCTTTCCTACCATGACCTGGAAATGATTCCCCCTCAACTGTCATGCAGATTCCTCCAATCCCTCCAATGCACCTCGAGGAGAGAGGAGGCTTCTCCCTCAGTTAACTTCGTCGTTAACTTCTCTGTTAGCTCAGAGTGAGGAAACGCAGGTGAATCTTTTGCGGAAGTCTTTAATCAAGTGGTGGGATGTATAAATGCAGCGCGTCAGAAGAAACTGCCGTTGTTTAACACCGACTCTATGGAACCAGGTATTTCGACCCCTCCCTCTCTTCATCTCACGTGTCATTGGGAGAAACTAAGAAGCAAGAAGAGTTAAGGAAAAGCACTTTGATGACAAACCAAGCTCACATTCCCGCCTGGTCACCGAGGACCTGGCAGCGTCGTTGTTAAAGACCCGGGAACACCGCTCTCCCTATTTGGAGTTGGTGGGTGGAGCTTGTTCAAGCTCCGACCAATCGGAGTAGACTGGGCATTTTTGGGAGCTGTGCCTTAAAGAGACAGGGGCTGTGTGTCGGGGTAATCTCGATCTGAACTAGTTCGTCCGACCATGTCAATCCAAAATATTTAGTTCAGACAGCAGTTTTGTTAAGAATGGGCAGGAAAAAAGAGAGCTCAGCACAGCTGGCCAATCCCGGCGTGAGGTGGGTGTGAATGATGGATGGTCTGTTAAAGAAAACTACAGGAGTTATATCGTGCTGACCGTGGACAGTTTTTCTTTCCTGTTCTATTATTTCATACACTGCTACACTAAATTACACACATGTTTTAAGTCATTGTGTAAAACTTAATATGAATGCAGAGGATGAAATGTATGATTTTGTTGTGCTAAATATGATGGTGTGGGTCTGCAGCTCATTTGGAAGGCGACTTTGAGGAGATGGAGAGCAGACTGGTCTACCTGGAGACTCTGTGTTGTCAGTGTGAACAACAGACGGTCAAACAACATCACGTCAACCAACTAGAAGTCTATAAGAAAAAGAAGAGGTAGGAGACGCGCATGAATGTTTAAATGTGTGAGAGGAGCTCGTTGTTGACCCTCGACGCTTTCTGAAAAATCTGTGACTTGAACTAAACATTGCATTGGCACTGATTTAAGGAAAAAATTGTTTGCAATCTTAACACTTGTCCCTTTAGTTTGTGTCTGTGTTATCAATGAACCAGAGGGAATCCTCGTCATAACAAGACATGACAGATGGAGTAACTATCTTTAGAATAACGTAATGCTAACTCTGTCTTGTAACAGGAGGGAGATGGAGGTGCTGGAAGGTGAGCTGCTGTTCTACACACATTTGTCACATTACTGCACAATAATGGCTCCTTACCTCATTACCATGCTGTGAATTATTTGCCTCTTTTGTAATGTCTCAATTTCTGCGACAATTGGCGGTATGGGCTGTATAAACTAAATTAGACAAAACACGGTTAAACGCATGACTTTTTTATTTTTTACAATCATTTCATTTGGGAACAAAGTTGCCCAACACCCACATCACCCGTGTGAAAGACGTGTTTCCCTTAAATGCCATCGTACTATAGAGATGAGAGGATATGCTTCTGTTTGTAGTGGAACTGAATTCTGAGCATGCTCAGAAGGTGGCAGAGCTGGAGCAGGCCATGCAGCAGAAACTGAAGGAACGACAGAAAGTCTACGAGGAGGCCTTCAACCAGGACGTGCAGCAGTACCTGTCCACTGGATTCCTACAGCACAGAGGTAAGGCTGTCTGTAGCTTTTACTTCCTGTTGTTAGTAGACAATGAAACCATCAGTGGAAATAAGAGACTTTTAAGGCAAATTAAAGTTACAAAGATCTGCTAACCAGTTCCACACTTGTGTTTATACATTTGAAAATGCATTGAATCACACTAAATTGGTGCTTTAAAAAAAGAGCAGTCTTGTGTCATAGTCAAGGGTTGGTACCTTAAAACTCTACTCAAGTAGAAGTACTCAAGTAAAAGTACTAGTTGAGTAAAATTACAAATATTGGCGCCTGTTCTTTTTTTCTCCGCACTTCTATTAGATGTGAATATGAGTGACATCAGTTCAGGTAAGGAAGTGAACATACATCTGTATCTATGGTCAGTTTGTGTGGTCATCATGTCATCATTAGATCATCTGCTGCATGTACACCAGGACAATATTCCCAGTC